ATGAATCACTTCAGCTCTTTGCTTCCGCTCATACTGTGTTTAGTCTACGTGAAGTGAAAGAATTTCGGTTCTGGTTGAGATGTAGGAGAGAAATCCTCTCCATCTTGGCAATGAGGATGGTCACCAGTGCTGAGAAACCAAATCATGATATCTTTTGCTGAATGAGGTCATAAGATCTTTGACCTCTCTGGCCGGTAGATACAAGGTATGCTGAGATGTCTCCTTCAAATCCTCTTATTTGGAGTTATTCTGTAACACCGTCATCTTCGGGTGAATCACCGCTACCAGTTCAACACAAGACTGAGTAGTTTGGGATCATTCAAAACTGAAAGCAATTCAGCTTCTGTCTGTCCCCCCCACGTTAAACATCTCTCTTACTTTTAACTGCTGCTGTGTCTTGGGGACGTAGCTTGAGAAAATCCATACGCTTGAGTCAATGTACCATTGTCTATATGGTACTTTCAGTATGAAAAGTCACTGAAAATTACACGTAAGAGTTGCTTCAATCTGTAAGACGTAGCTGAAGTAGCTCTGAAGGTTCACCAGAAGCCCTCCCTGGGAAGTGCTGCCCATGCTGCTGAAGGCACCTGGCTCTTTGGGGGGGCTCGCGGCTGAAGCTGCTGCAAGGGGCCGTGCTTCCTTGGCAGGGAGTGGCAGGGTCTGCTGTGACCCCCTGTAATTTGGGAGATCCTTGGGACTTTTGCAGTGAGCCAGGCACCTCCGAAGCCTCTGTTGGAGAAGGTACAGCAGGCAGCTTCCCCATTCCCCAGCAGCATATGGACCACATACCTTTAAGAGAAATGTATTTCGTAGCATATATGCAAACAAGCTTCGAAGAGGCTAAACTGTCTTCGTTCCCCAAACTGGTATGAAAACCAGGGAACTCCAACAGAGAGGTTGCTCAGACCGTGTTGGTTTTGTTTTCATGTCTGGACTTGCCTGGGGTTTTAAGGAAGATTTAATGAAGGTTTGTCCCATCGGAGCAAAGGAGGGCTCCGGTGGCGACAGTCACCTCCTGCCCGCTTCCCTCGGGCGCAGGCACGCCAGCTCCTGGGAGATCGTGGCTGTCGCCCTGAAAGCATTCGCTGTGAATCATCCTGTCTCTAAACTTGTCTGTGGGTAGTTTTTTCTCTCGAGCAGTTAGAAGCATCCACTGACGGTGTTAGCAGCTCCGGCAGCCTCGTGCCTATGGCTTTCAGCATCCAGCGCCACAGGGCTCTTGCCCCTTGGCATGGGGGGGTCTCTGCCTGATTGCCTGCTCACGGTCCCTGGGGCCAGGGCTCCTTCACGGGGGTCCCCGGGCAGCCCCAACCCAAGCTCACAGGGCTGGCTCCTGTTTGAGCTGGCTCCCGGAGAGCCATGCTGCCGACCAGCTTCTGCAAAACCCTCCTGAGCAAAGCCCTGCTCCTTGGTTATTCCGCTAGCCCCTCCAAATGGTACCTGCATTACTGCAGGGCTTCTCGTCACGGCGAGCAGGCTGGAACACGGGCTGGGGCTTATCCGCTGTATTATGCACAAACGGCTATTTAATTATTTACAGGCTGACATATATCATTTAATATATAAAGCTGAAGCATCTACCAGCCCACAGGCAGAATGGCTGAGAGCAGCCTGCTTGGCACCACGTTTTAACTGAAATCCCTCGATGCTAGCTTTGTTTTGCATAGCACTTTGTAATACTGTTAGTTGACTTGGCTGCAGTTTCACAAAGCATTTTTTTCCACTTGGTTCAACACTCCCTTGAATTTAATGGGACTGGAGCCAAACAAGTAATGGAAGCCAAGTGCCGACATTCATTTGGTGTGCAGTTCCTGACAAGGAATATATATATAGTAATTGTCTCTTGCTCCTCAAAGCTGTAACTTTGGCTGTGGGGATACTTGAGTGAGCATGCCAAGTATTTAAAATCATAATTGGTCAGTGATGAAAACATGTATTTATGGCTATAATGGGGTGCATCAAAGCAAGAAACATTCGTCTTCTCTGTAGAAGTAACAATGTCTCTTAATTCAGAAATGCCTACTTTTAAATCACACAAAGATTTGTCGAAGTTAAAAAGCTCTAAGAGCTTGGCCTGAGTGACTTATTTCCCAACAATATTCCTAATATTCACTTAGAGCTGCAGTTTTAGCCATGGTTACCAGGTTCTGCATCGAGGCATAAGAAAGGAATGTTGCACCGTTTTATGCACTTAAGGCACATCATTAAAGTGTTCTGTAATCCTGGACTTGCAGCTAGATTTTGTTTGTTTGTTTGTCGAATGATTTGTTTTATTCTATTTTGCTGTTTCTTTCTGGCATATCAGTCATTTGTTCTTTTGGGGGGCTGCTGTAACGTATGAGCTTTCTGTGGTTCCTGGAGGACTGCTGGATGCAGCGAGGGTTTTGAGATGCGGCAGTGCTACGTATCTGTGATGCACTTAGGCTGGGGACTGATAGCGAGGGCAGGTCTGAATCTGGGACTATTCCCGCTTAAACAAATCCCTTTCCTTTCAGCCCACCCTTTATGCCAGCATCACTGCTACTTTTCAGCTGGAAGAAACTTATTGCTGTCCAAAAATCGAAAAAATGCAGTTTATAAACAACTGCTTTTTAATAACTTCCTCCCGACTCGCACGTTGAGTCATCTCTCCCTTGCCTGTAGGAAGGAGTGCGGATGTCGTCTTTCTAACGAGGTGGCACGTTAGGGAAGATGCTACGCAGGGTTCCTGGCTTGGATCCCAAAAAGCAATAGAGCTGCTGTTGTGATGCTGCGTCCAAATTACAAGGGAGCCAGGTCTGAATCATCTGGGTGTAGCGCGTGCGGATGTCAGCGTGCTGAGCCGGGGGAACCCTGAGCTGGCTCTGCCCCAACGGGGCTGGGGGTGGCTGGGTGGGTGTTGCTCAGTTTTGGTTTGTTTTTCTCATTGAAATACTTGGAAGTTTGTAGGTAGGGTGCTATTGTTTGCTGCTGGAGTTTTTTTGGTGGGAAGTCCTGGACCATCTGTCAGAACGAGGATGGTGACGATGTGAAAATAGCCTTCTGCGGGAGCCCGCGGGCTGGCCGGCTTATCCCCAATTTTACGTGACCACCTCAGCATCTTTTCTCTGGAGACTTTGACATGAAGTCATTGGTTATTCTATATGCCTGGATATCTGTTATTCTATGTGCTACTTCTCTTTTAATTCATAGTATAGGAACATTTCAATGCTTGTCACTTGAGTTAGAGCATTTTTACATTATTAGGTTAAATTTGCAGTTAAATTTTTCAATTTCAAGCCTTTTTATTTTTAAAAGGACTGGATAGTTTGGGGTTTTTCATAAATGTCACATCACAAACTTGTATTATGTAACTTTAATTTCTTCAAATTCTGGTGAAAACAGACATCAAGAAAACTCTTTTAACAGCTTAAAAAGAAAGAGTTAACCTGCGCCATCTGTTTCCCAAAACCTGTGAAGCTGGAAGGAATTCTTTACAGCATGTCCAATGGTACCTTCCTGGTAATACTTCAGAAAAGAGAACAGTTCTGGTTTAATTGCAGTGAAATGTATTGGGTGTCAAAATGTGTTGAGCTGGCTGTTGTGCAAAAAATTACTTTTTTCTATGACAAAAGGAGAATAGATTCATAAGGGACAGGGGAATTATCGACCTCCTGGTCACTGGGCTTTCTGACCTGCAGAAGCCTCTCGGATTATACGGGGGAGACGAGGAACTGGAGCAGCTCCAGCTCCGCTCGTCTCTGTGGTTTGCCAGTTCTGTGATGCATTCAAACAGCATTAAAATATTTATTTCCCAAATGATACTGGAAACAGGGCAGAACCACTGTCATAAGAAGTCTTTGCATGGCAGAACTATGTTGGAAATGTGTTTGAGTTTTTAAAAGCCTTTTCTTTCTCTCAGATTTGGAGGTGTTATGCTGAAATTCTGGCTGAAGGTGGAATGTATTTCTTTTCTGCTTTCATCCCTGTTTGTACTTCAGAGCTGGACTGTTTCCTCATCGACATAAAGCCAGAGCAGTATACTCCTCCATACTTTTAATTGTCTGATCTGGGATGTTGTACATTTTTCTGATACGATGAAAATGGGTATCTTGTGCACATGCACAAAGTCTCGTTGCTTGCTGTGGTGGAGAGTTTGGGGAGCATTTCAGAGCCAAGATCTCTGTTCAGCTTCTTTTCTCCCAATATCTCAAAAAAAATGTGGGGCTAGGAGAAAAAGAGAGACAAATCTTTGGTGGTAACAGTCATTAGTTCACACCTGACTTACAGCGAAAGGAAGAAATACCTTCATGCAAAACGTTTCTCTACAGTTAGTGGGAGTGGGTGGGCAAGGATCTTTGGAGCATCATGGAGGTGGCCAGCTTACCCCGTGTTTTCCATGCTGGGAGTCTTGGCGAGGCTGAGATGGCTCCTGCAGCAAGTTTGCAGACAGCAGATGGTTGGTCATGGCCCTGGGCTGGGTTAGATGCAACGTGGTGCTGCTCTCTCCCATTACCAAGGATTCTTAAAAAAGAATTGTGTGGTTCAGCAGTGAGAAAAGCCTTCCTGCCCAAGGAAACGTGTGGCTGTGCGTGGTTCAAATCACTGCGGTAAGTCCTGCCTGGCTCTGCAGGACCACAAGGTTTAGGATTAGTTCATATGTCTAGGTTTGTGATATGGGCACATGCTTTGCATGTGGATTTGCTCGAGTGAGCAAACTAGAAGGGTGTACGCACAGAAAAAGCTGCCAGTCACTTTCAGTATGATTTTGGTGTAACTGAGGTATCTGAGACTGAACTGGCAGATTCCGTCTGCTTCAGCTAATCCTAATTTGATCCCACTACAAAGTCAGTAATATGTCTGTAGATGTAGTAAACTTAATTACTTAACTGCAAGATCAAGGAGCTGTGAAGGAGAATCATTTGATGCATTTGTTTTAAATTGCCTTCAAATAGTTGAATGGGGAGCTGCATATTTTGGTGGGGAAACCACTATATAAGATATCTAAAGATGCTAAAAATGTGGTTCTCTTCCACTTACAGCTCCCAGCCCCACTACAGCTGTTCCTTACACGTCAGTGAAGTGCATTGATGTAAGAAAAAACCACCACAAAACCAAGTGGCTGATGCCCTGGGGACCCAACCCCTGCGAGAAGCTTAAAGACTTCGACGAGGCAGTGAGCAGGCAGATTGAAGCCAACGATATCGTGTTTGCTGTGCATATTCCCCTCCCCAAAAAGGAGATGAGCCCCTGGTTCCAGTTCATGCTTTTCATCATGCAGCTGGACATCGCATTCAAGATGGACAACGACCTAAGTAAGTCCCTCTCCATTGTTTGTTAGATGCTGACTGTGGTCTGATTTCCCCATGTGTTTCTCTTAAAGTCGCTTTTATCTTGTGCCATATGTTAACTGCTACAGTGCCTCCATACAGCGAGGTGATAAAGGAGCATGTTCTTAAGGTGAGAATCGGTAATGAGACATTTCAATATGTATCTTTGCAGGGAGAGCTGTTCACGCTGCACTAGCAAGTAGCTAAGCAGATGACGAGCAGGTTCCCTCTTAAAGTACATAGACCATCAACAACTACACTGGTTTAAATCCAGCAATTCACTTTCATGGCATATGCTCCTGGCTTTCATATAGTTTTTCAAAATATTCCAGGATGCTGAGTGCGCAGCAACAGTTTGCAGTCGATAATACTGCCCAACCCTTTCAGCTGTTTCTTTCCTCCTGCTTCTCTGTGTTCCCATCCCATCCCTTGTGCTGGCTCTGTGCACGTGCCTGGCCGTGAGCTGCATTGTGTGGCCTCCTCAGGGAAATTTGAGGTTGGCTGGAGGACCTCTCCAACCGGTTAGGAGGTTGAGTTGGTCGCTGCCATGCAAGGTGGTGCCAGGGCCACTGCTGAAGATCTGCTGGAGCAGGCGAGGAGTGGGGATGTCCCTTCTGCCAGAGCAGCAGCATTGCCTCATCGTGCTCTAGGTGGGGTGTCTCACTCTGTGTGGAGGTGGTGAAAAGCAGTGTCGGGGGGGTGGTGTTTTTTTTATTTTTATAAATGTCTCCGCCCCCAAAATCCTTTGTGTCAAGACTTGAACTGGTTACTGGTTTCCCAGTGCTGAAGCCTTTAAGCCATGCTATTCTGCTCTGTGTTTGCCAAGCACTTTTGCATGGTGAGTTTCTAAACTGCAAGCCAAAGTACTTAGTAAATGAAATTATTGATCCATAAGTTTACACGAGGAGCTCGTGAGAAGGAATGCTCATGTCAGAGGTTTTAAACACGCACTCTCCATCGGGCACCAGTTGCAGAAGAGTTGATGTTTATTTACTGAGCCTTTGTCATAATAATAACTTTAACTTCTTCAGTCTGAGGTTGGTTGTTGGTGAACTGAAATAGTTGCCCTAACTTCCATCAATGGTTGTGAGATACATTTTTTGCTAGGCTTTGGTACATGCAGGTGGAAAGTACCTTCTGGCCTTGAAACTACAGTGGTCCAAATTAACTGGAAAACTGTACAGGTACACGAACTGTGGAGGAAGCTATCTTACTGGAATTCACCCTTAGTACATGGAAGAAGATAAAATATGAGGGAGGAAACAAAAAACCAAACAAAAAACCCCCACAAACTCAAAAATAACCCTGCAAAAAAAATCTGCAAAATAATATTGGGAGCTGCAAGGGCAAGACTGATCTGCCCCTTACTGAAAGAGTTGTGCATGTGTTTACATGTTTAAAAGTGTTTGGGAAAAATCCCTCTCTCTAACAACTATAACTTAATATTATGAATAAACAATTTACTTTTCAAACTGGTCTGAACTGGGGCTTCTGTAGCTTTTTCCTCCGGCTGCAGCTTGTCTCTTGGCTCTGTCTCTAGGGTTCACGTAACCGTGTGGTGGGTGGATCAGCTCAGGGAGCAAATCTGTTTTAGAAACTGGCTGCTGGCTTGGGGATGTGGACTAGCAAACGCGCGTGCTGGTGCAGGGGGAGCTGGCAGCCTGCACCCCAGGGACTGCAGCCAGGTCACTGTAGATCTGATGAAGTTTTCATGACTGCTTTAAGTTTCCTTTACTGCCTTGCCTTCTCAGCGTGGACCTGTTCCTTCCTAGCTATTTAATGTATCATCATTAAGATAAGTTAAAAGCGAGATTGTATAAAGCTTACATATGTATTCTTATCCCTATAATTATCTCTAAAACACAGAGAGAGTAGCTTTGTAACTTTATTAATGCCTCAACTTCTTAGACTTCAATAGATGATTGCATTTAGAGAAATAATGCTTTGTTCCGAGGCTTTTAAAGTCAAACCACTGAGCTGGAGTGAGTAACTGGCTGGGCACCTGGGAGCAGGTTGCTAAAATGCTAAACAAGCTTTTGACAGTAATTTCTGCTGTAAGTGCAGAGAGCCTTTTCTTCAGGTGATTATTTGTGCTGTTCAGTGACCAAGTCCTTCAAAGGTGGGAACTTTTTTTGAGATTTAAAAGCAGAAAAGCTTGTCTTGGGCCACCCTCTGGGTAATAACCACTTCTGCAGCTGGGAAAGACTCAGTTTCTGGGCCTTATCAGTTCAGTAGCTGCTGGTGGTTTTTGTTTATAAGAAGCATTTGGAGATGAGGGAGACATTAAAACTTCTAATGGTGTGAACTTACTTGGCACATCTTGAAGGTCTTCTTTCATTGACTGAAGAAAGTATTTTAAAATGCTGTTTTCCTACACTTTATGCCAAGCTGAAGGCAGATGTAAATTAAGTGTAAAATCTAAGAAACTAGTGAGTAACACATCTCTTGCTTGCTAGAGTGTGTTGTAACAGATTAAATAAAAATAAATCTTGTTAAGCCAAAATAATTGCTTATATGTCTCTGTATCTTGCTGCTAACTTTGAGTTAATGTTAAGAGCTTCATTGATCAGGTGGCTGGAATCAGCTCCTCAAAAGAGGCAATGCTGAAGATGTGAAATAACCTCGTTTCTTCTTTTAAATCAACAATTCAAGTTTCTTCTCTCTTAAGCTTTGAGAGACCTCAAAGCCAGCAGTCATCCTGCTGTAGTTAATGCCAGCAGGGGCTGGTGCCAAACCAGGGATGGCTCCTGGAAGGCATTGCAGCTATTAGAGCCTTGGCCAGTCACCGTCATAATGACTGTCTTGAAGCAGCCTCAGATCATCTAGGAAAGCAGCACCGCCTGGTAACTGCAAATGCTCTTATCTGCCTGAAGAAGCTGGTTGCCTGTCTCTCTGGGGAAACATCCCGGTCTCCACTGGCTCCCCAAACCCCACAGCATGGTCCGAAGACGTTAAGTCAACGTGCAGCTGTGCAGGGTCCTGGGCTCGGCCACGCTCCCCTTCTTGGTCTTCACCGGGGATGCTGCTGAGCCACATCTCCAACTGTTGCCGGCTTTTCTCTGCAAAGGCACGTGGTCATCCTCTTCCTCTGCAACCCCTAAGCAAGGCCAATGCACAGAACAAAAACTTTCATCCACTGCGAGTCTGTGGGCTCGGGTTTTCCGAGGGTGGAGGGAAAGGGCAGCCCTGGCAAAGTGCCCCAGGGAGCGAAAGGCCCCATGGGATCTGCATCCTTCAGAGGAGGAACCAGCCGTGGGTTCTTGCTCTGCACTTTCAAAATGCAGATGTTGTTTTCAAAATGCAGGTGTTTAGAAGCTGAGCTACTTCCCTCATGTTCATCCTTCACAGAAAGCTGGGAGAGACTCAGACTTGCTGTTTCTGTGAGGAAAAGACTATTTCTGTGCCCAAGCTGTCCTTGTCCTTTCTTGATGCATTGTGCGTTCAATTATTAAGAAACCCTTTCCAGAACAGGGAAAGGTGGCGGATAGAGAAACAAGATGAAGTTACCTTAAAAACCACCCGTACCTCAATCACAAAAGCTGCGATGGGAAATCTTAGTACCGCTCGCGAGGATGGCAACATCTGCCAGCGAGCCCTGCTCCTGCTGTGGTGCAAAATGCCCTGTTTGCAGGGATTCCGGGAAGCCCTCCGGCACTCGCCCAACGGCTGGCACAGGGCAGCGGCCAGAGCCCCGGCGTGCAGCCATCCATCCCTGCCATCCGTCTGTGGTGCTGCCGGCCGCGTCCCCGGGGGACCAGCGGCCGTCCTCTGGTTTCCAGCCGTAGGAAATTTCCTGTGTGCAAAAGACTGCTTTTGAAGCTGAAGTTTTCCTTCATGACTGCGCAGTCGGGTCCGGTTCCCATCGCCGGATCTGAGGAACGCCGAGCGCTTTCAGGGGAGGGATGAAAGCCGTTGAGCTTGTTGAGGACCACTCTCCAAAATAGCATCTGCCCTGGAAAAGACTGTCCCTGCTCCCAGACAGGACAGGGTGGCCACACCGGCTCCTGGAGCTGCCTCTCCTTCCCCACCGCAGAGCAGCACTGCGGCCATCCACCGATGGGGTTGCTGGTAGTGAGTGTGCAAATCCCCTTTCCTCGGCAAGTTAGGCGGTCATCTCTGTTCCCTGCACATCAGGTTCACTTTAAAAATTCATTCCTGCTTTGCTTTAGTCATTGCTTGTTGGCACATCTTGCTGCTGCACTTTCATGGGCAGAATACCTCAGAGAAGGGTGGGAGGTTGTGCTGTGAGCTTGGAGGGGATTTCTTTTTTTTTTTTTTTTCTTTGTATTTTATTTATTTTTTGGGCTGGTCTGCTGCCATGGGTCTGGGCCATTTGCATTTGGCAAGCTGCAGTGTTCTTAACAGGGAACATCAGTCCTTCTCTCTGAGCTGCTTTGCAGCATGACCTTCTACATGCCAAGAAATAATTTGCTGGTATCCGTCCCTAGCTGGAGCAGGGACCTGGAGGCTGCTCGCTCCCTGACTGCCACAGGCTTCAGGAGCCCCCAGAGCTGCGCTCTTGGCTTTCCTGCCTTGGTTTCACCTTGTGCAAAAGTATACCTGAAGTTGCTTAATATTGAATTGACATCTAGGAATGCAGTGTCCCTGGGGAGTACAAACTGACGGTTGCACTATGTTGGACGTTAGATAATGATGCCTCTGTTTATCAGGTGGTGTAACAGTATGGAGGGGCCTTTACAAATTTTCAGTCTAAAATCCCTGTTTTCTTCTCTTCTTATATCTACTGGACTTAAAATGTTAGTAAGTGAGAATAACTTCTGGTTTCTTTGCAGTTGCAAAGCAGTTGTATACAGTTGTATGCCTAAGCGCTGCAGACTGAATTCATCCAATTTTGGTCTCTTTGGTAGGTTTTGTAATTTCAGATTGCTGGTGAAGCATGGAAGTGTAATGCAAATAATTCTAGCATTTCTTCTATTTGCTTGCATATGCTTCTTTCCAGACAGCTGTATTAGTATGCAGCTGGCACAGAGCCATCTTCTGAAACAACTCCTCTATTTTTAGACTATTGTAATGTGAGTGAAGATATCCTCTGCTAATATCGCACTATAAAGTGAATCCTGGAAAAGATCTCGGGCACCGAATGTCTGGCAGTAAAACGCCAACATGAAAAAATATATTGGCGGTGCTCGGAACATGACAGGTACCGGGGAATCCCTCGCTGTAGAGGGGGGTGACAGCTCTGACCTACTTCGAAGCATCTCATAGCCCTGCAAATGGAGAGTCACTGAGAAAGCTCAAGGCTGGGAACCCCAGCAAGAGTGTGTCTTCTCGTTGGTCATCCCTGGAACGCATAATCATCTAAACAAACCTGTCTTATTTCTGTAGGGTTTTTAATATAACCCTATGGTACTGGTGAGGTTGTCACTTGATGCTTGAGCTGCTAATACCAGAGGGGATTTACCAGGCTCCAAATTATCTAGGCGTTATCTGCAAGATCTGTGAAGGCAAGGTTAATCTGGAGCATGCCATGAAGAGATGCTCTGACGTGGTCCTTGCGAGATGAAGTTTCCTGGCATGGGTAATTTCATCTCTTGGTACTGAATGAGACAGAAATCTCTACCTACTTATTTCTACCTTTTGTTGTTGGGAAATTCTGGAGAATCTTGATTAACATGTGCAGAGGAGCTGAGTAATTGCTTTCCTCGAACATGTTAGCATCTGGGAAGCTGAGCACAGGTTTGCAGTAGCTTTTTCTCTTCCTTCCTTGCATGTATTCTTTCTCTTCTGCTATGGCTCAGCTTTGAATAATTAAAATACTCTGCTCTCTCTCAGCACTTCCAGAAGTAAAAACTGGCTCGACTGTCAGTCTCTTGCCTCCTGTTCACTCCTCCCATCTGCTGTTTTGATGGTAAATAACGCTGCTTTGAAACACCTTTCTTTTATCCTGAAGCCAAGCATGGTGGAACATCAGCTACTGCTTCTCTTCCCCGTTCCCCTCATGCACGTATGCCTGCACAGGCACGTAGCCTGCCCTTAGTATTCAGAGGACTTCAGGAGCGTTAGTGCCATGCACGAAAAGGGCACCCCCCACCCCCAAATTGTCTATTCACCATCTGACATTTTGGTATTAATGTGAATAAGTCATGAATCTTCTTAAAATTCAGTTCTTTGCCAAACAGTGTGTCACTGTCCTTATTTGTTCCTCTCAGACTATGGAGACTGCTAACGAAAGGCTGAGAGTGGACTGGCGTAGGACTATCAGTCTGCTGTGCTGAAATACATATCTATATATATATGTGTGCGTGTGTATGTATAGAGACATATTTATGTATTTTATGTTGACAGGCTTGAAGGGTCTTTGTACAAAACTCTTTTCTAATGGGAGGTGTTACCCCGATGCAGAGACTGCTGGAAATACAGAGGGAGATTCTAATCCACTGGTCTGGAAAAGCACACACTAGTATATCTCCTGCCTTCTGGTTTTCATACTCGATGGCAGCAGCAACATTTGGATTGCAAAGATGAAATAATGAAAGCTGTTTTTGTTGGATTTAATCCTAAGCATTCCAGTTGGTTTTATGGCTTCTGAAATGAAGTTTGTAGTTCTTTTTAGCTGGGCCAAGTTTAACCTTATGATCCCATTTATCTGTTTTGCTGGTCTTCTAAATAGCGGATCTGAGATGGCAAATTCATGTTTCATGGAAACCCAACTAATGGCTGCTGCAGAAAGGAACTTGATATCAATTTGGATTGTATAGATCACATGTGCAAAAAAAAAGCTCAGAAAAATCTTGATGCATCCACATCAGATGCATAACAGAGCCACCTCCAAACCCTGTATAAATAGCAAGTCTAAACCACAGATACCATCCACGCCCCCTCCCATCATTTTGGATGAGTATGCCACCACATATTCCCAACAAAAATATAACTGAAAAAGATGACAAACATACAGGGGGCACAGCGCTTGAAAGACTCATGCTTACTTGTAGACATGAAACAGCCTCCCTTCAGAATTATGAAGACCAGATTTTTTTCGGAGCTGAACTTCAAAGCTCATCAAGTATTGATGTGTCTTTGCAGCCCGTTCCCCAGTGTGGGCTGCTGCTGAGAGAGCAGGCAGCCTTGTTTTCATACAGAGGGCTCCTGGTGAAAAGCGATGGGCGTTGACATCGTGTACGCCTTCCGCATCCTTACAGGACGGAGCACGTACAGTGTCCGCCTATACAGTGACGCAGCCCCGATGGAATGTGTGCGTGTGTCAGCTTAGATCTGCAGAGACATTTCTGAGCTCCGGAGCGTGCCACAGCGCGCTGCCAGGGAGCTTGCAAGCGTGAGCTGTTTGCAGCGAGAGCGCAGTGCTTCGACACTGGTACAAGTGGTTCTGTAGCCATCTTCCAACGCTTCTCCATGGCAGATGGTTCTGTAGCCATCTTCCAATGCTTCTCTGCAGCGGATGGTTCTGTAGCTGTCTTCCAACGCTTCTCCGTGGCAGATGGTTCTGTAGCCATCTTCCAGTGCTTTTCCAGCAGCTGTGGCTCTCAGAGTTCGGTGATCTATGAAAAGAGGCGAGGTTGTAGCATGCACAGGCTCATTTCAGAATGTGTCCCTCTTTCAGAGCCTTCCCTTGGATCTGTGCCTGGTAAATAGCAGGATTTTACATCTGGTAGAGCTGGTATAGACTTGCCTCGGGTTTTCAAAGCATGTTTATGTGTTGCTGCTTGGCAGACTTCAACTGTAACTCTCATTTTCATGACCATGCTCAGTTGTGGCGCCTAAATAAGTCTGTTCCAGCCCAATTTCCTTCTTGCAGTGATGACCTCTTGGCAGCATCAAGAGCATATTTAAAAGCAGTTACACCCCATACTCTTACTGTGATATTGTCCAGGAGAGGACAACCTGACTGTTTCCACGCAAATTTGATGTGGTGACCTTACCTGGGCATATAAACTCTGTGTGTGTTTACTGATGTGCAAGTTGGTGCATCTGTAAAGGCAAAAACAAGTCAGTGCTGGTGTGGGGCATGGGCATGGAGGGGAGGGCTTCAAAAGGCTTATGTGGAATCACTTAAGCTAAACAATACATATAGAAAACATCAACTCCATCATGTGCGGTCGTTTCTGAGTTTTTTTCCAGCAAGGCCAGCATAGCTAAACTTCAATTTTTTAATTTTCTTTTTAAAGGACCCTTGTGTAGTGTTTTGTTTTCTTATTACTCTGGGAACCCTGGCTTATCTTTGAAGAGCAGAGGATCCTAGTTGTGGGCAATTTTGAAGCAATTTGTACTTTTGGTGATGCATTTTGACTTTTCCCAGCAGTGCCTTTCCCTGCTTCCTCCCTTCCCGTCCCACCCAAAGGCCTCTGTGACCCTTTTTCTTTCATTTAACATCTCTCGGGCAGAATACATCTTTGTTAAGGGGTGTATTCTAGACCTTTTTATTCAAGATGTTGGGCTTCAGTGTTTATGGATGGTGAACCTACAGCCACGAGAAACCTAAGGTTACATTGATAGATGACTTCTGCTATCATGCTTAAATGAACCTAATGCACCATTAGTTGCATGATTTCTCCTTTATACAGTTCATCTAACTATACACAGTTGCATACTTCATCTTTTTTGTGGTTTTCTGTAACTAAACACTATTTCAATGTTGATTTAAAGCAAATCCTATGATGCAATATAGTTGTTTCCTGAAGCAGGAACACCCTTTGCACACCCTTGTATTACCTGCAGAAGGTCTACGTAGAAGCCTGTCTTATTGTCCCGCCGCCAACCCGCGGTGAAGGGGCTGCTGGATTGCTTCTTGGCTTACTGTCTGTCTCTGCAGCTGTCTAGGTTCCAGTTTTATACACAAGTTATTGTTTCTAATGCTATATGAATAAATAATGCTCTTCACCTGCAACTGTAACATAAACTGTAAGTCATGGTATGTTAGAAAGATATCAGACCTTTATGACCAGTAAAAATTCTTTCTTTTCTAGTAAAGAGGAGATAAATGTTTTTAAAAAGGTAATTTGATCTGTATTGTTTGGAATGCAAAAATTTCCATTGCCCTCTGTAGCTGTGTGCCTCTCAGAGGTCCTTTCAGTGTCTAGATGCTCTCCCACCCTTCTGATGTTCTGTACCATTCCTCTCTAACAAGCCTGATGTCTCCTTACTCTTGCAGAAGAAAACGCAGAAATTACCCTGGATGTGTCACTAGCATATCGTGATGATGCGTTTGATGACTGGGAAGAAATAGCACATGCAATAGAGATCAGGAAGCTGAAATGCACCTTTGGCTCACCAAAAGTAAGGTGTTTTGTTGACACTGGAGGTGGGGAGGTGTGGGGGGAATTGTCCTCTTGCTTTCCTTCATGGTGCTTCCTAGAAGCTCTGGGTTGTTCAATCATAACTTTAAAACGCATCAGGTTTCTCTTGGCTCAAACTCTTTGAAAACCTTATGAGCTCCACATGCAGTTGGTTCTATTTGGTGATACAAGAGAAGGGGATGAAGTCGGAGGTAGAGTTAAAACTGTAAGGCAGAAAAGCTGTGAGGTGTTGCAGAGCTGATGTCTAGAACTTGTGTGCTTTGAGATTTGTATACCCCAAACCATCCTAGAGAACTTGGACCTTTCCATCTTGTGCTTCTGTGATGAACAACTCCATGACACTCCTTGTTCTTCAGGAGTGGCAAGGAAATAGCCCACCAGGGACACTGCAGCATTCAAAAGACCTGGAAAGGTGGGGCAAGAGTTTCTTAAAATAACTTCTTAATGCCTCAAGCTACAAAGCTTAGAAGCAGAGAGCACAGCTAGCAGTTGAGAACAGACCATCTTGTTTAAATAAAGATATTTCTTTTTGTGCTGCAAACTGTAATTCATGTGCTTAAATTTATCTGGTATCTCTTTACATACCATGTTTTTCAGCTCTGTGTCTTGTTCTCCTGTTTCACAGTCTCTTTCAGTAATCCACTTATGTCGCCAGTAACACCTGTACCCTTCCATACAGCCACATATATGCAGTAAATACATACGCGGTGCTGAGGGCACTATTGCTGGTAAAACAGGACTTAAGAAACTCCACATAAAGACATGTGTGAAGGGGTTGCATATTTTGTTTTGGCTCAAGTTGTGCTTGCTGAGGGAGGAAGCTTGGATCCCAAAGTAGTATTTCCTCTGGAAAGGCTCCCTTGACTTTAAGTGCATGTAGGAGCCTGAGAACATGAACCTGCTTGAGTTCAAACACTATTGACTCAATGACCCAAAACAGTTAGAAACTTGAGCAAAAATGTCCCCAAACCTCTGATGTTCTCCAGACTTGCACAGACTCTCCCCAGGCGAAGGCTGGAATTGGCAAACAGGCTCTCGGTCCTAGCAATGGCCCCAGTGTTAGGGATTTTGCAGATCCTCACCGTGGAGGGCGTGCTGGTCCCTCCAAGGCTGACCGCCGTCTTGCTGCTCTGTGCCCTTTTGCTAGACCCTGGAGTCCGAAGGCCGTCACTACGACTGTGACTTCCTTCCCTTCATGGAGATCGGCAGCGTGGCCCACAAATACTACCTCATCAACATCCGTCTCCCTGTGAACGAGAGGAAAGGCATTAACGTGGGCATTGGCGAAATCAAGGATATCCGCCTCGTGGTAAGTGTCTGTCTTGCTTCTCTCCATGACGTCTGCCCGGGGGCTGCTGCAGCTCCTTTCTTGATCTCCTCTTGGATCCTACTCTTCATCGCGCGTAGCTCCAACCTGCAAATGTGACTTTCCTCCTTCCCAAGGGATGCCTCCTTTGACTGCTCTCTTCCAAGGAGCCCATCCCAAGCCTCAAGCAGTGCCACCCTCCTGCACTGCCCTGTGACCACCTCCAGAGCCGTGCTCTTCTCTCGGCTCCGAGAGCTCTGTCCTCTCCTCCCCACCGCAGTCCGGCTCAGGTGCAGACTCTTCCACCTGATTAAGCCCTGCCTTAGCCTTAGGAGCTAAGGAGGAACAGAACAGTAGGGTTCAAGGGGGGGCCTGGTCTGTCTTGGAGTTGGCCATCACCACGCAGATGTCTGGGACCGCTGTCAGCTATCCCTGCTCCTGCCCTCCCTTGAGGCTTGGTGGCCATGGGTGCTCCCAGCTGGAAAACCTCCCACCACTGTCCCTCTCAGCAGAAGCAGCGAGCCAGCCGGCTGTGGTGGCTGCAGACGGTGGTGCGAGGGCGTGCGTCTGGAGAAACGCATTCATTTGGCCGATGCTTTTCCACCAGTGGTGACTTAGCTTCATGAGTATCTTGTTACTTGTCTGAGAGCAATTCTGCCAGCTTTTCCCATGCTGTGTCAGAGTGCCCCTCTCTCAGCTGCTCTCCACCTCACAGTGGAAGCTGTGTGTGTTGATATTTGTTTTCAGGACTTTTGAAGCCTGCTCAGATGGCCTGGGTGCTTAGTAGGCACCTGCTCCCTTTCCTGCGTTGGAGAAACTGCATCTTTCAAAGAGTACTTATATCTACCTGTGCTTACATGTACTGCCACGTATCTGCCTCTCCTGTCAGCTCCTGTGAGGAGAAGCATAGCGTAATGTTAAACCCTGTACAGCTGTTGCATTCCACCTTGGTTTTTCTTAGGGCATCCATCAAAACGGAGGCTTTACAAAAGTGTGGTTTGCCATGAAGACCTTCCTCACCCCCAGCATTTTAATTATCATGGTCTGGTACTGGAGACGGATCACGCTGATGACACGCGCTCCTGTCCTGCTGGAGAAGTGAGTAGGGGCTCAGGTGCTGGGTAAGGTGACCCTCAAGCAAGAGGACCCTGACCGAGGTGGTCACTGCTCCCAGGCAGAGCCTGTGTTTGGGGAGACAGGGATGGTGTCTTCTCTGTCCCCTCCCTCCACCCAGGCACCCTGGGAGCAGGAGACCCCCATAGCTTCTCTTTTCTTTCCCATTAAACCCACAGAGAATGAGTAGCTGTATTTGCCCACCCCAGAGGGTTTGCTGGCAGGAGGTGACACCCCACCACCACTGCCCAAACAATGTTAGATTTTCTTCTGTTGCTCTTTGTGCACAGCTTTGGCTTCTGGGGCTTTGTGTCCTTGCCTTGCAAACTGGAAAGAGATGGTGTTTCTGTCTTGCCAGGGTCATCTTTGCTCTGGGAATTTCCATGACATTCATTAACATCCCTGTGGAGTGGTTTTCCATTGGATTTGACTGGACTTGGATGTTGCTCTTTGGAGATATTCGACAAGGCATTTTCTATGCCATGCTGCTGTCCTTTTGGATCATCTTCTGCGGAGAGCATATGATGGTGGGTACAACACGGAAGGGAAGGTTGTGTCCAGCCCCACTTGCAGAGATACCTGGCAACTCCCTTGTGGAGAGTTGGAAACAATGCTGTGGGGACCCACACCCGGTGAGAGGACTTCAGGCTAACTTGCTTCTCCTTTTTCTCCTTCTCCCACCTCTTGACCCTCTGATTAGGACCAGAACGAGCGGAATCGTCTCTCGGGGTACTGGAAGCAGGTTGGACCCATAGCCGTTGGCTCCTTCTGCCTTTTCATCTTCGACATGTGTGAGAGGTAGGTACAGCGCTGCTCTCCAGCCCGTGTGTGCTGCTCCTGGGGCAAGCCTTCCCCGAGCAGCGAGCAGAGACTCCTGGCCACCTCCCGCAGCAGGGACCAGCAGTTTAACCCCCGTGGCTGGAAGCACTGCCCCATCTCATGAAGCGAGGAGAAGCTCCTGTGACTGCACTGAGGCATGCTGGCATTTCCCTGCAGCATATCTTGTCCTGTAGGGCCGTAAAGAAATGCTTCCCACCTCGTCTCCTTCTCACCCACATGGGAAAGCAGCATGGCTGGCTCTTTCCAGGCTGTGGAGCAGATGTGGGGCTCTCTGAGCTCATTGGCAGCTTTGTGTTTTCTCTCCTCTTTGCAGGGGAGTGCAGCTGAAGAACCCCTTCTACAGCATCTGGACCACCGAAGTTGGCACAGAGCTGGCTGTATCCTTCCACCCAGCTCAGGGCAGGCTCGGTCTGTGTCGGTAGGAGAGGGAGGTGTTTCCCTTCTGCCAGATACCTGTGGGTTGCAGGGGAAACCCTCCTCCTTTTGGCAGGCTGGGGCTGTGGAGGGTTCCTCAGGCTCTGTGGGAGATGCTGGTGGTGTTTGGAAGAAGCAGTTCTGGCAGGTTTGGTGCTGGGTACCGGTGTGGACTGGTGCTGTGCTCAGGGAAGTCACTGGAGAACTGAACCTCTCCTCAAGATGTCTGAGATTTGGGGGAAAACATGGGGGATTTAGGTCCTGGGTGTCATCACAATAAGCCCAGAGCCCGTCCTGCTCCAGCAGCGCCCGCTCTGCTTTCCGCCTGACCCCAGCTGCGATGGCATCTGCTCCAGGGCCCTCTTGTTTGCTCTGATTCCTCGGGGACACGTTGCCAAGGCATTTCCATGAACTGCCCTTTCAGGTCCTGCTGGAAGGGCTTGCTTTCACTGCCATTAATTTGGATTACTGGGCTGAGATAAGCTGATGCGATTAGTCCCCCTTCCGCAGCATCCAGCCCTCTTGCAGGAGCCTCTCTGAAGATCACACTGGTTGGTGATGGCTTCCCAAATCTCCTCTGCAGATTTCGAACAGGCGGGCATTTCGGCGGGTTATCCCTCCTCGCTGCCGAGCTGAGCGCTGGGGGACATCCGAGCCCATGCTCCCCACTTACTTGTGGGCAGGCTGCCGTCCTGAGTGAATGCTGCCTGCTGGAAGTTTAGTTATGATCTTTGGGATGATATTAAAATAAGTGAATTGCCTGTTTGCTATTATTTCTGTTTAGCTCATACCGTTTTCTCTTAACCTGCACTGCTCAGATGGCCTTTATTATAGTTGCCGGAATCTGCTTGTGTCTCTACTTTCTCTTCCTGTGCTTTATGGTCTTTCAAGTGTTCAGAAACATTAGTGGAAAGCAGTCAAGCCTCCCAGCCATGAGCAAGGCTCGCCGCCTTCATTACGAGGTAATGCCCCTCCTTGTTCCACAGATTCTTTATTTTTAAAATGCATTTTTGACCTTAAAGTCTATACTGAGACCTTCCCTACCCATATAGTCCTGAAGTGGAAGGTCTGATCTTTATTGGCTTTCTTGTGTTGCTCAAATCCCGTAACTGCCTTTTTGTTTGACTGTTGTGAAGTTTCTTGTTTATTTGGGTCTTTAGTCCTGATGAAGTATTTTAAACTCTCAGGAGGGTATGTAAGCTAGCTCTCCTTTCTTACGAGTAGTTGCCATCTCCCAGCTTACTCACAGTGTTAGAAGATGGAAGAAAATTGCCCAAATTACCATTTAAATTACTGTGGGGTGTAAGCCCATCAGCTCCCCATACCTCTGTTTCTCCTCCTGTAATATTAATTATTGTGTTTAATGAAAAGTGTTGCGAAGATCACCCTGTTTTTCCATGGTGTGAATTCAGATTTTTGGGGTTGTGTTTTCCTAACCAAGTTGCAGAAGAGAAACTGTCCCACTAGGATCCAAATGCGACACATTCAGCACATTATTCCCGTTTTTTGTATGCTGTTTCTGTCCTAGCTGTCTTTAGCTGCTGCAAAACACAAGGAGCTCACTTTAAGTGCTTAAGCTGAGAGCGCCTGTTGTTTCCATGGGCGTGTAAATATTTATCACCAGTGTTGTTCTGTTAAATGATGGTCACTTCTGATTTAAACAAGTCTGTTATCACCCATCAGGAATTCACATTAAAAAAATAGAAAACTGGACTTGAGAGAATTTGAAGAAGATATTGAACTTTTTTTTTTCCATCTTTCCCTTGAGCAAGAGGCACAGGACTTCAGCTCGTATTGTAGAGCTGCAGCCGTGCTCTACGTACAAGCATCTGGCAAGCATGAATCTGATCTGGAAGAGTTAAATTAATAGTCATTTGTTGTTGCAATGTGGCATAGTAATTACACAGACGCTGACATTTCCACCGAAATTCCAGAAACAGGTTAAAAAAAACAACACACGCACAAAAACAAAACCAAAAGAATTTGTAAGTAAAAATGTAAAACTAGTGAAAGCAAGTACAGTATGCAGTCAGATTCCCAACCAAGTGATCCTGAGCCTTAGTTTGTCTTATAATCTACATTCTTCTGTAATAGCCAGCATAGTTCTGACAAGCGTTGAGAATCGCTGCAGTTTCCTCCCAGACAGACCGTGGAGGTGAGGATTAGTCTGGTACAGTACCCACGCTGTAGAAACACCAACTCGTCTTGCTAAGCCATGCAAGCTCTCCACAAATGTTTGTTTTACAAAAGCTATGAGCTATCAGGCTGGCTCCTAGTGAAACCCATGGCTTACACTGACCTGCCTCCTTTTCCATGTTAACTCTTGGTAAATCAGTCACAAAAGCAAGTGTAATGGAAAGCCGGAGCTGCCCAGACATGCACACCCCACTCGGAGCATCTGGGAGGAATGCAGACGTGTGGGGAGCGGAGAATATGGGCTGTCGTGAACACGGCACAGAGGAGTGGGTGGAGGTTGTTTTGCTTTGGGGTTTCGTGGGTTGGACCCTTTTTTTTCTTTTTTTTTTTTTTTTAATACTTGTGTCTTGTCTACGCTAAAAACAAAAATGGGTTTTGTGGATTCTGTTAATGTGACCAGTGACATTTCTCTCTAAGCAGGGGCTGATTTTTAGGTTCAAGTTCCTGATGCTCATTACCCTGGCTTGTGCAGCGATGACAGTCATCTTCTTCATCGTGAGCCAGGTGAGTGACGAAACTCAGCTCTGTCTGAGAACATCAGCCTCCGATTCCCGAGCCGCTAACAACATCAGCTCACTTGCTGTTCAGATGAGGCATGCCTGTTATAAGCAGATTTGGTAATAAGTTGCTTTTTAAGAAGTTGTTTTCATTTATTTGAAGCACTGCCATCAAATTGGTCAGGCTGAAGCCATCACAAAGGCCTTTGGCTCACGGTAAGGTTTGGGGCTGTGCTGTTTGAAATATCGGCCAACACGGGTTAGTCATTTCTGAGAACTCAGCAAGAGGAAAAATGTTCTGTTCACATTGAAAGAATCCGGTGGCTTTGTATGCCCACAGAGAAATAACAGAATTCAATCTTCCCTGGGTTGACTTTGCAACCCTGCTGTTTCCAACAGTATTGATACCTATTTATTCTGAGCTACGATGCAATCTCTCTGTACAAATGAGCTTATATCGCTACTTAAATGTACTTTGATGGTTTACTCCAAGTGACTTTTAAGATTGCGTCTGTTTCAAAGATGTCGTATATGGTTGTTCCTAAGCATAGGCAGCCTGTAGCTTCAGGAGAGCCGTGGGTACAGCCTCACAAGTCCAGAACTACAGAATTACAGGTGCAGGAGCTGTTTCTTCCTCACTGCACCACTCATGCTTTGGGGTACGTGGTGCATCCCAATGCAAACTACAGCAGCAGATGATTCTGCTCTTAAAAATCTGTCCGACTGAAGCAGTGGTTCGAGAAATGTCACTTGGCGATTTGATTCTTTGTTGAGTGCTGATGACCGAAACTGTCACTGCGTAGGGGCATAATGCAAACAATCTTGTCCAGCTACTCTTTTCAAGCTAGTTTAGCTTTCGTCTTTCCCCCTTAGGTCTTTTTCTTTAATGGAAAGCCAACATTTCAGTGTGAACAGTCTGCATATCTTCAAGTAGTATTAATATTGATGATTCAAGTAATATTAATATTGATGTTATTTTCGTAAATCTTGACAAATCTCCGCGTGTCCAAGGCTGATGCTGTCAGCCTAGGCCCCTCTCGTAAGACAGAAGCAGCAAGCAGGCATTCAGCACATTAGCTCTTCGCATTATTCATGCTGGTTTTCCTTCTATAAAAGGTCTATTTATAGAAGTCTAATGTTTTCAGATGTAACTAGTTGTCTCCTAGGTAGTGCCCTTCATGTGGCAGTCTTCGCTGCACACATCAGTTACAGCAGGGTTATATTGCAGGATGTGAGAGATTTTGTCACGTTTAAGAATGATAAATCAAAGTTAAAGAAATCCTGATGGAATAATTTTGTAAGGACCATTTTTTTCCTGCAGGTTGAGGCTAAAGAGGAGAATCCTAGCCTGACATCTGCGTCACTGAATCTGTTATACTCCATTTACTCGATCCTGTTGAATTGACGCTGTTCGTATTGATTTACTCCAAGTTAGTGCTTTAGGAGGTCAATTCTGTATTTTTACAGAATTTGGTCTTACTGACCGGCCCGTGCATGTCTGCTTTCTCCCCGGCAGGTGACCGAAGGCCACTGGAAGTGGGGGGACATAACGATACAAGTGAACAGCGCCTTCTTCACTGGCATCTACGGGATGTGGAACCTCTATGTCTTCGCCCTGATGTTCCTGTATGCACCGTCGCACAAGAATTACGGTGAAGACCAGTCAAATGGTAAATGCCTCTAAATGATCTGAAGGCTGTCATGGGAGGAAAGCCATATAAAGTGGGTGATACCTTTTGTGCAGGTTTTTTTGGCCAAAGTACACGTTCAGCACCTTGAAATGTTATGCAAACGATAGTTTTCCTAGCAGACATTTTAATTAATGACTAGGTTAGACAGGTTTGAGTGTTTAGCCAAGGCTGTCTAAAACCTTCTAGATGTTTTTTGTACTTTTTAGCAGTGCTCAGTTGTAATTGTGTAGCTCAAATGGAGGGATGAGGAAAGGAGAAAATAGAGATCTGGGCAGGTGGAGAATGGCAGTGCTATTGGATTCCTTTATCAGTAGTCTTCAGTAGCACAGAAATCGTCCATTGCTGATATGGTTGTATTTAAATAACTGTAAATAAAAATGTTTATAGAAATGTTGCATAGTCCATAGGTCAGGTAGCTCCTGAAAGCCTGGAGGGAATAAAACATCTTTTGCTTTCGAATTGTCAAATATTTTATTGTGAGACCGGGCTAACGATATAACTTTGTTTCTCAGGAGACCTGGGAGTAAACAGTGGGGAAGAGCTTCAGCTCACCACCACCATCACCCACGTGGATGGGCCCACAGAGGTTTATAAGCTGGCTCGCAAGGAGGCTCAGGAGTAACGCTGGGATGGCCTCAGCTGGGACCCAGACCGGGGTGGAGAGCAGAGGACAACGCAATGCCCTCCGGCAGCAGACCTCTCTCGCCTAACTTGCTTCTCGAGCACCCCATACCTAGTGTATTTTCACAGAGCAGTGACACCGAGCAGAACATTTGTAAACTCTTTAATATGGTGTAGTTATTTCTGGGGGGAGGGATATGTATATTGTGTTACACTCAAGCACGTAAAAACCTGCTAGAAAAGCATTAAGGTTGCAAAGTCGCATGTTCAGAAGTTAGGAAGGGGCAGAGCTGACATTGGGCAGTTTTTATTTGGCTACTGTGTGCCTGTGCATAAAGGTGGTGTGGGGAGCTCAGTCGAGGAGCACGTATTCAGTATTTTGAGTTTTCTTTTGGTGTGCAACTTTTAAACAAGGTGTTGGGGGGGGTGTGTGGAACTAAAACCTCATTGTAAAAACATTTAATTCTACCATCTATAATTGTATTGAACCTTGTTTGAGGTCTTTAGTACAGCCCTGCACCTCCACAGCAAACCTTTGTCACTTGAGTGAAACACAGCTGGGGGAGGGCGTAGACTGTTTGTAATATATAAGATTTTAGTAGAAGCAGCAATATGCTTTCTCAGTGGGTTTTACAGCTGTTTGTTAAATGTAGGGGAATGTGAAAACTGGATGTCTGAGCTGACTTGCAGGAGAAAGGAGTGCTCCTCTCCCGAGTTCCCAAAGGTCCCACAGCCAACTCCTGCCTGTTCTCAGCCCCTTGGGCTTCCCTTACTTTGGTTGTCCTCCTCCATCTTAGCTTTTTGTTATGGCTCATTCATTTTTATGCTGCTTACGTGCCATGGGGAGAAGAGAAAGGCCACGGGAGGGACGGTGTGTTCTCAGTTCCCGTGCCCGTGAGCTGGGCAGAGGACACCGGGCAATCCCACTCCTCCTTGCACTGCCAGGATGGAGCACGCTTGGCAGAGATGGATTCTTCCAGGGATTATCGGACTTGAAAAAAATCCGCTTGTCATACACTAATGTGGGTATTTGCTTTTCAGAGCAAAAGCAGACGATGAGGTCGCTCACCCCCATGCTGCGCCTGGGCAGGTCTGGCTGTGAGACTGTTGGCAGTACGAGGGGAGTGGGAACTGATCTGGGGTGGAGGCATAAACTGGACTGTGCTGGGGACCAGTTAAGAGAAGTGTTAATGGTATGTGCGGGAAGAAGCATGGCCAGAAGGGTCTGTGCTGCTCAGAGCACACCTTCTTCCAGAGCCTGGAGGATCTGGGGGGCCTTGTCACCTGGCACTAGTAAATGTCTGTGTTAACTGCTAGTAACACAGAACTGAACCTCCCCACCCCAGTTTTGTCCCTAAAAAATAAGAATCTGCTACTGCTGTCTGATCAGAGATTAGGGAGAGAGGGGAAGCTTCCAACGCCGCTGACAGGCAGTCATTGTGGGTACTGGTAGAAACACTGTCCTGGAAAAGGCGACACATTGTCCTTGGATTCTTAAAACTTCTGAAATGACACATCAATTGTTAGACTATTAAGACTGCGGAATGAAAGTATAATTGGGCAGTACCAGAAGTGAGATCACCTATGAAACATTAATCCATCTCTAGCCAATGTATGCATTACGACTTGTGATTAAAGCCCGTTGCGTGCTGGCTTTACTGTCGCGCGCTGGTTTGCCCGTGAGGCTGGGGCTCTGGGCAGGAGTTGAGGCTGTGCAGCTAGGGCTCTGGTTTGCACCAGGAGGTGTTGGTTCATCACAGTTCCCACCCCAGCAAGCAGCTCGTACTCGGTGATGCCTGTCCCTGGCTGCCCCGGGCTCCCCTGCTCACCCACCCCGCTGTTTGCACGGGGCTGCAGCTCTGGGGGGGCTGCTCCGTTCAGCTCTAACCGTCCCTGTCACCGTTTCAAGCATGTTAGTAACCAAATACAGCACCAACTTTCCTTGCCTTTTGCTTTCTCTTCCCTGTGTTTCTTGAGACAACTCAATACTTTAGCTGAGGTGACGCATTCAGATAATTCCTCCTTATTTTCCCAGTCCACCAGGGAACAGGACCAGAAGGCTAGCAACTGCCCCTCGGCCACGTGCGGGGCCGGCCAGGCACCCCGTCTTCTCACCAGTCTTCCCCCAGAAGGGATTTCTCACAGGGACCTGCTGGCTGTGCCAAACGAATCGCACCAGGCAGTGCTGGGCTCTTGCGATCCCCTAAGAGCAGCACGCTGTAAAGTAGCATTTAAAATACCATTTATCAGAGCGCAACACTATGAAGGAGGAGAGGGTAGCATAGATAACCCTGCATCCTTTTGGTTGCTGGGAACCCCAGGTTGTGCTCCATCAAATGGGTTTCCGATCAGGGTGCGGCACACCAGGCAGACCCCATCTGCAGAACAGCTGCTCTGTTTTTGTTAATTGGAGCTACTATAGGATTTTCTTAAAAGAAAGGAATTCTGTTCATTGTTCTGTTTGCCTCACTGGGGTCCCCAGCTAGCCCTGCCCTGGCAGCGTCTCAGCCAGGACGCAGGGCCAGAGCCGAGGAATGCTGAATGCATCGCTCCGGATAAAGTCCCTCGAGTGCTGCTATGTCTGAGCGTGTGAAGTCACTGTAGCACAGAAAAAGTGCTGAACACTACTTAAGGAGGTAGCTTTGGGTGATTTTGGATACTTGAACTGGAACACTAATAATTTTTTATAAGTTTGAGGAGGTTTTTTTTAAAATGGAATGACAGTGCTCCTGTACTGAAAGGAAATGTGGTTTAAAAGAAAAAAAATTTTAAAAGGAGGGGGCACACTTATTGTATGTGGAATAAGTGCTGGGACCGCACCTTCAACATTGATGGAAAAATGTAACTGGTAAGCAATTTACATAAGAAAAATAAGTTCTAGGAGGTCCAAGCAATGTTCCTACTTGCAGTAGTTGTTCATTTACAAAGTGAATTAAATTAACGCACATCATTGTAACTCCGGCATGTTCCTGGCCGAGTGCTTGACTTTGCAACTTTAACATCCTTTTTACGTTGGGTTCTTACGTGATATTTATGTTGTTCCGATAGATGTGTCCATGGTTTCTTTTACAGATTAGTATAGCATTGCATATTGTAAAGGCTCCTTACAAATGGGGAATTGCAGCTTTAAAACCAAATTGTGTGTCAAACACTAACAATTTGTTTACGGGGCGCGTGTATGTGTGCGTGCGTGTGTGTGTGTTTTTTTATTTCTTAATTCCTAAGCCCTACTCATATGTCTCAGAAATAGTCCCTGGGTCTTATTAAAATATATCCTTTTTTGTTTAGGTTGAGTTCAGTTTTTACAGAATGCTTTAAGCAACCTGGAAAACATGTAGTTTTGTTAATTTAAATAAAATATACAATATTGTGGATTTGTCGTCAGCCTGGTTCACTGACTGAGAAATCATAGCTCTTCTGCTGTCATCTTGTTTGCTTTTATTTAGTCTTTTACTTCAGGCAGTTGCAAGTCGCACAACGTTGCTGGGGCAAACAGTTGACTCACTTGGACAATTTTCTCCCGCATCTCTCTCCAAATGCTTTGCGGTGCAGCAACGTGGTGCTTCGATGCTAATGGCTTTTTGACCTTTAAAACCTTTGCTTTAGGACCAATTGTTAGCAGAGCCGTTTCTGCCTTGTCTCTGGAGTGTGGGTTGCAGCTCCTGCCACAGTTACAGCTGCCCTCGCCCACGGGACTGGGGTGTTGAGACCCCCCTAGGCAGCTGAAGTCTGCTCCCACGGCCGGGCACGACCCTTGGGTTTTCCTTTGGGGTCTGTCCCTTGGACCTGCTTGTCCCTGTTTGCCAGCCCCAGAGCTGCCACAGCTTTGCTGTGAACTTTGCATGTCGGCTATTACCCCGCTGCGATGTCAATTTGGGTGTCCTGCATCCGCTGCTGTATTTGGAGGCGCTGCCTCCCACTGCTCTCCACTTTGTCTTTTCTGTCTATAATCCAGGAAAAAAAAAAGAAAAAAAAAGGTTTCCCAGGACTTGCACTTAAGGAGTAATGGAAAATTTGATGACAACAGGTTAAGTTCAATATCAACAGCTTGAAGTTCCCATTGCAACAGGGGCTGCCTTGATAAAATGGCACAGGAGAGGGGAACTGGGCTGCTGAGTTTTAGGCAGAGCCCGTGGCTCCGTTTCTGCTGCAGCCTGCGTTGGCTACAGCATGTCTGCCACGGCGAGGCACCAGGACTGCTCAGAGACAAACTAGAGGCAGTACAGCACTTTCAGGACCTAACGAATTTCAAAAGAGCAAATTCATGAATTTTAAATAACTGTAAAACCACTGCCACCCTCCCACATGGCTTCTCTTCCCAGGTTTCTTACTGAGGCTCTTTGTTGGCTGGGGCCCTGGCAGGCCTTTGCTGCCCTCTGCTGCCAGCAGAACACGGATTTCAGCCGGATTTAAAAAGAAAAAATAAATCCTTCACCTCTAAAAATGTGGGAAGTTCGCTTATATGTAGGAGTTCTTATTACCTGCAAGGTGCTGCTCAGGGTCCGAGCTGTCCCAAGAGCTTCATGCTTCTGCACCGCCAGGCAGGGACATGGTGAGAACTGGAGAGGAATGGGAAAAACTACCCGAGAGTTTCTTTAAAAGGTTATCTGGTGTTGCTATGAGCAGCTTAGTAGGAGAAAAATGGGTTATGAGAGACTTCTGTGGGTGAGCTGGGGACTGCAGTTTTTGAGGTCAGCAAATGGTCTTTGGTTGGAACAGTTTGACTGTTTTTCTTATTAGACTGCTTGCTTTCTGTGTTTTCTTAGAAGTCTGGGACCAGAGTCTCTTTCTGCTCTAAAACAGGTTTGTGACTGAAGAGCAAAGCGAGGAGCTGCGGCAGATTCCGACACAGCCTCCTTTGCCGTTCCTTGCTCTGGTGCAAGGTGAGGCGTAAGCATGCAGCGCTGGGCTGACCTGCCTTCGAACAGAAACCTCGGCGTGGGGTGACGGCGATGCCCGGAGCTCCCTTTGCTCCCTCGCTCCTGGGGGACCTGTTGACAGCAAAGGAGCCTTGAGAAGTCTGTGCTGTGATATTTGCAATCATGTTCTGGGAGGCACTGGGGGAACTGGTCTTGTAGCCTGATGCCCATCCCTCTGTAAGGGCACGTTAGATCTAGGAAAGGCTCAGGGAAGGGGGACAAAAATGATCAAAAGTTATATGGCTGTGTCTCACTGTGTGCCTGCTGGCCACAAGCTCCAGCAGCAAGGCTTGCGGGATGGATCTGGCCCGTGTTTCCCAGCTTAA